GATGGCAAAACGGGACAACGGCTCGGAGCGACGGCGACGTCGGGATGCGATGAAGCAACAAAAGAAGCGAATAAGGTGGAAGGGGGGTTGTGCCTTTACCGGAGAGAGGAAACAACAGCCACGAGCTCCATTCTTCCGACCTCCCCACTGTCACGACGTCCGTCTCGTCGATCCTCGTCTTCGTCGGCAACAACAGCGACGGTGGTTGCTCGGTGCTTCACGACGACGACAAACGAGATGGCGGCGGTTGGAGATTGGAGGGATAAGGGTGGCGGCTGGAGAAGATATTAGGGTTAGGGTTTGGGTTTGTTTAAATGAGAGGACAAGGGAGGATGGGGGTGCTGGGTTTTAGTCCCACCTCCAACTTTCAAACTTAAGTCCATTTTATTCACTTTTAGCCCCTGCCACCAAAACATTTTCAGATTAAGTCCAATAGTTACCAAACAACCCCCAGCTTCCAAAATTCTATTCATAACTAGTCAGAAAGTTACACTTTAACCCCGATTTCCAAAATTTATAACATTTAACTCCTTACACTAATACTCTGCTAAATTATTACAGATTTAGGACTGACATAAAAATATAAAAAGAGGTTTTAGGGTTTATTATTTATTTATTTATTTTAAATGGGATGTTACAGAGTTGATTTTGGGCCTCTTTTGGGCTAGGTTTTAGTTGATGGGATGAAAATGGGAGAAGGGTAAAATAGTATTTTTACCCTAGGGGTCAGGACTGTTGGATTAGAACCCCCGGTTTTGGATTATGACCTAATTATTAATTAGGGTTTTATGTGATTAGTTAGTGCGGAATTCTCTGGTATAACAACCCGAGCATTTATTCGACTTATCAGCGGACTAAGGTGAGTTTGCTCATTATACTATAGGACACTAGGATATGTTATGTGCTTGTAGTCTTTGCGACTCCTACCGTATGTGTTATATGCATGTGTGCCTGTTTGCTATATGTATGTGGGATGAAATAGACCAGGGGGTGAAATAGACTCGGTATAACCTTGTGATGACACATGAGTTGAAATAGACTCCGGGGTGAAATAGACCTGGTACGGTCTTGGGCCGACGCATGAGTTGAAATAGACTCGGGGGTGAAATAGACCCGACACAGCCTTGAGCTGACATATATTTATGGTATGCAGTATTTTGAAGAACTCACTAAGCTTCGTGCTTACGGTTTTCAGTTTATGTTTCAGGTACTTCTGGATAGAAGGGGAAGAGCTCGGGATGATCGCATCGCACACAACATGACTTTTCACTTATTTGACTCTAATGTGTTTTGGATGATTATGAATACATTATGATTTCCCTTTTGTTTTGATAAATACGTTTGGGTGATGTATTTAATATAAAAACAAAAAATTTTGATTTAGCGTTTTGCATCGTTACAGTGAATCACAACTTCTCTTTCATTAGGGTGTAGGATAACATTTTTTTAGTTTTATTTTTAATTTCTTTTAATTTGTTTATAAAAGACAAAATAATGAAAAAATATTTAATGAGGGCACACTAGTCTTTTTAGGTTAAATAAATACTAAGCGTATAACATAAACATATAAAAGGGACAAAGTGTGCAACAAATTTGGCATTTAAGGACTCCACAAATGGAAAACCCGAGTTCGGGACTAAATGCACAAGTAACACAATACCGCAAGGACCGTTCGTGTAATTTACTCTAATAGTTATTTTAAAATTGCTTCTGTTGCTGTTTAAAAATATTTTATAAAAAAGATCATTTTTAGTTTCCCAAAACCCATCACCGGGAGTTTGAGACCATTAGAAGCTTTGTCACCATTCCGAGAAGGTCCAATTATGAATGAGATGACGGTTGACGTTGCTGGAAATTTGTCGAAAGTAGAGAGATGGAAACACTAGATGAAGGATTAGTTATGTCGTGCTCCATCCGCTACTACCAGTTCCAGTTCGGTTTCTACATCCTATCAACGTTCAAATATGAGATTTCTTCTTGGTGTCTTGGGTGCGCCGAAGACGGTAGCGGCGATGACTCCGGAAAATTGTGTTGGATTTCATCTTCGGCTCCGACAAGACGTGTTGGATTTCATCTCCGGCTCCGGCGGTTCCTCTCCGTAGAGAAGGCGGGGGCTCCAATGTTAAGTTGTCAGCAAAAGACGAGATAAAGAAGAATGAGAGATTGAGAAGAGTTAAGAAGTGAGGGTGGGAGGGTTGGATTGGTACCGTAGAGTGGGTTTTGTTTAGTTTTTAATTAAAAAATAATAATAATATGGACTTATAAAAGACAAAATTGCAAAAATGGTCCCTGTGGTATGCATTTTTTTGGGGTTTTAGTCCAAACCACGACTTTTTTGGATTGATGGTCCTTTTGAGATGCTTTATCTGTGATTTTGGTCATCGCTAAATTGAAATGACTGTAATGCCCTTCTGATTTATTTTTTTATGTTTTTTCCATTTAATTTAAATGAAAAATAAAATAAATAATAAAGTTGGGCCCACCTCTCTCTCTTCGTTTGGGTTGTTTGGAAGGGAATGGTGAGAGTTTGATAAACAATGGGGATTCGGGGAAATGGGTGGTACTAGTGGTGATTCGGGTTCGGTGCCGGAATCAATGACGTTGAAAACTTGTTCCTCTTTTGGATCGATCAATTCGTCGATTTCAGCTTTAAATTTGACCTAAATTGAGGTTAACAACGAAGACGATGGAGTTGGTGGATAAGAAGGTTAAAGTATCTGCTGCTTTGGTTCGATTGAAAGGTAATGAGAACGAATCTCAAATGATTCCTGAATCCGAGAGTATAATCTACAATCCTTCATCCACGATTCAAATGCAAACGAGTATGATAATGACCTTGTGTATGCTCAGATTTACAAGAGCCAACCTTATGTGCCTCCATTTTCGCCCCAAAAGTTTAAAATCATGAAGAAAATGGAAACAGTGGCGTTGTCTGATTCCTCTACACAAATCAGTGCTTCACAACAATAACAGTGTGGCCCAGTTTCTTTAATTGTGTACTTGTGGTTTAGGTATGTTTCTTCAGATCGTTTTTGAAACAAAAAAACCCTGAAATCGAAATCGATTTGTGTATATGAGTTCATCCCAAAAAATTGATTTGATTGTGTATGTGTGTTTTTATTTTTGAAATCGAGTTCCAAAAACCCAACAAGCGAAATACAACACACATACACACCAAATTATACCGGCCATGATCTGGAAAATGGCGGAGGCAAAAAAACTCGACCCTTTCTCGTTTGTTTCTCCACCTCCTGTGTATACGTGTGATTTGTGTATGTGTTTAATTTAATCATGTGTGTGTGTCCAGTGTTCTTTTTTGAGAGAGAGAGAGAGAGGTGGGCCCAACATTATTATTTATATTATTTTCCATTTAAATTAAATGGAAAAAACATAAAAATATAAATGAGAAGGGCATTATAGTCATTTCAATTTAGCGAGCGACCAAAATCACAAACAAACCATCTCAAAAGGACCACCAATAAAAAAAGTCGTGGTTTGGACTAAAACTTCAAAAAAAATACATACCACATGACCATTTTTGCAATTTTGCCTTTATAAAATGAAAAAGAAAATGAAAAGGATAAAAAAATAATTTTAAATCGACCAAATTCATGAGAAATTTGACCGTGTAAATTAGAAACTTTTTGAACTCATCTAATTTGCAGTCCAGTATAAAAAAGGGATAATGACTTAAAAGGGTAACATATTATTCGATTTGTACACATTTGGTCACTGAGTTTTTTTGTCCACATTTACCCCTTAAACTTGTTAAATTGTACACATTCAGTCCTTGTGACCTGTTACTCCAGGTTAGCCGGGAAAAATGACTTGATAGGGTAATATATTTTTCATTTTGTACACATTTAGTCCTTAATATTTTTGTACATATTTAGTCCTTAACATTTTTTTTTGTTTCAAAATAAGTCTTTTTTTTGTACTCATTCAGTACTTATGAATGATTTCTTTAGGTTTTTTTCACGACATCTTACGTGAGACAATCATTGATGAGGTGTTTGGGGTTGTTGATGTTTATGTCCAATGCGATCTCGACTGCTTGGTTGCGTAAGTCTTGTGGTTTGACTTAGGTCTTGTATTTTGAACATCGTAACTTCTTCATACGATATCAGATTTTAAGGATCTTTATCCACGTGTTCATTTTTTGAGTCTACTACAACTTTCATTAAGATTACTCCCGTTAAAATGTAATATATTTTTACTAACGATTTTATAAAAAAAACATACATACATGCATTCATAAAAAACGTATGGACAGGGGAAGACGCAGTAATACATAGTAGGTGTTGCCGAGATGAAATAAGTGTTTCTGATACATGGAAAATAGGTATAAACGAAAAAAAAAGCGAAATATTTTCCACTGCGAACAGAAAAAACAAGTGTTGTCGGTGCAACACCGGGACCATACTAAATCCGCCACCGCGTATGGATATAAAAATCGTAAGTAAAAATATATTATTTTTTAATGGGAGTAATCTAAATGAAAATTGTAGTAGACTAAAATACGAACGCATGGATATAAAGATCGTTAAAATCTGAGATCATATGAAGAAGTTATGACGTTCAGGAACACATGACCTAAGCAGCCAAGTAGTCGAGATCGCGATGGATATAAGCATCAAAAGCCTCATACACCTCATTAATGAATGTCCCACGTAAGATTTTATGAGAAAAAACTAAAAAATCATTCATAAGTACTGAATGAATACAAAAAAAATGATTTATTTTGCAAAAAAAAAAAATGACTAAATGTATACAAAAATATTAAGGACTAAATGTGTACAAAGTGAGAAATATATTACTCTATTAAGTCATTTTTACCGGGTAACCTGGAGTAGCTGGTCATAAGGACTGAATGTGTACAGTTTAACAAGTTGAAGGGGTAAATATAAATGAAAAAAAAACTCAGTGACCAAATATGTAAAAATCAAAAAATATATTATTCTTTTAAATCATTATCCCTATAAAAAAAAAATTAGAAAGAGTGAGGAAGTAAATCCCAATTTAAGAGTTAGGTTTGAATGAGAGATATTGTTGGCTGATTTCGTTACGGAAAGTCGGAAACTGCCTAGAAGGTGCCGCTTGTCCTTTTGTATAGTTACTATTATATTATTTTTTATTTTTTTGGGAGCACAATATCTCATCCAAACTCGTGATCCTGAATCCTATTTATTGAACTTGTTGCCTTCACGGAAAAAAGCAGGTATCGTACCACCTCTCACCAGCTACCCCTTCACTGCTCTTCTCTCTGATATTTTTGTGGTAGGTACTCTCATCGACTCTTTTTCACTTTTCCTTCAACTATCTTCAAAGAAATTTGTGCCTTTTTGTTGCTGCTTTTACTTTGTATCGACTCATAGTTACCAGTAATCCAATCTATTAGATTATGAGTTTCTCATGGCTTTGTAGTTTTAGTGCTTAGATTCACTTTGTTTCGTAATAGTTGATCTGTTCATCAGTTTACTAATAGTTGATCTGTTCATCAGTTTACTTGTCCTTCAAATTTGTTTTCAGGTAATTTAGTTGGATTATTTTTGGGTTACTAACTTCATACGCTACCTATATGTTTGACTTTATCACTTGGATAAAAATTCTGGCTCAATCTCTCTTTCTTTTTAAGTGAATCCTTTGATTCCCTTTCAAATTTTGCAGTTTTAAGAGAATACTTTGATTTCCATTGATAAAATTTTCTGACACATTTTTTAAAACTAATTCAATGCTCTGAAAATCAATTTTTTTCTTTAGATCATGTAAGTTGACTTTTGTGTCACGAGGTTCTTTAGGTTCATTTCACGCCTTTTGTGTTTTTAGTTCGACGTACTCCTGATTTAAACCGACTTTTACTTTCAAGCTCAAAATTATATGGAATTTTTGACGCTATTTAATGTATGGAAATGGAACGTAATACAACAAGGTGAAGATTATTGACGTCAAGTTTGTCACAAAATATATACTAACTTTTACCATTAGATTTTAACTTTTTGCTGCCAATATTTATCTGTTGTGACGCTAAAGTTTGCTGCTTGAAATAATCGAATAAACCTGATACGAGCCCAATTACAACAGCCCCACCCCTACCTAAAGAGCCCAACATAAAGCCCATGTAGGAGACCACGTTTCTTCACAAGAACTGGTCATAGTCACGTTCTTTGTTTTAGCTCATGTTTTCCTATTTTCTAGCTGATAGTTCTATTTATGCATTGCCTTGTAATTTCTTTGGAAGATGATTAAGAAAATTGTTGCATTCTTCTGTGTTCTTCTTTTGAATTCTGGGAGATTAGCCATCTCAAAAAAGGCTTCTATCAAAACCCCTGGAATAATTGCAGGTTCTCCTGATTTTAAATTTAATTCTACTATACTAATTCATACGCCTTTGTTTCCCACGCTTTTTTCAGAACACTGTTCACTATGGGGAATCGATATCTTTGTTTGGCTTTATGTTTATGTGCTTTGATACCCTCTATGCTTGATGCTGCTTCCGATGGGTTACTGAGAATCAACATGAAGAAACGACCTTTGGATGTTAATAGCATCAAGGCTGCTAGAAAAGAAAGCAAATATGTTAATGGTCTTAAGAACACACCACATGGTTTAAGTGATGGGAATGAGGATGTTGTCCCTCTAGTCAACTACTTGGATGCCCAATACTATGGGGAGATCAGCATTGGTTCTCCACCTCAGACATTCACTGTCATATTTGATACTGGCAGTTCCAATCTCTGGGTTCCATCATCCAAGTGCATATTTTCTGTAAGCTTCATCTCATCTCATTTGGTAATTTATGCAACTTTGTTACAATTTCTTTACTTTAGAGTTTATACCATCAACTGCTTGCAGATTGCTTGCTACTTCCACAACCGGTTTAAGGGAACAAAGTCAAGCACTTACACAAAAATTGGTAAAGACATGCACCATTCTCAGTTTTTCAAGATGTTTTGTTTACAATTTTTTTACTTTAAGCTAACATATATGTCTGAAAGACTGAAACGTCATGGTTTTGTTTTCAGTAGTTACAATATCACTAAATGGTGACCAAGTTTTAAGTTTTGCACATGTTGCACCAAAGTTCCATAAATTTCTTTTTAAGATGTTTAACCACTTAATGCTTGTATCTTTTTTTGCTTGGTAATAATCAGGGGACAATTTGCAAATAAACTATGGATCTGGATCAATTTCTGGATTCTCCAGTAAAGACACTGTTCAAGTTGGTGATATTTGTGTCGAAGATCAAGTAAGTCTTCTCCCATCCACAACTTCATATAACATTCTAACTCAATTCTTTCTCACTGATCATGTATAACATTAACATGGATTTTGTCTCAGGATTTCATTGAAGTTACTAAAGAAGGGAGTCTTGCATTTGTAATTGGCTAATTTGATGGGATTTTTGGACTCGGTTTCAAGGAAATTTCAGTTGGAGATTTGCAGCCAGTCTGGTAATAACTCATCTGAATTTGGAGCAACTCTTTTTCTCGCTTTCTGTTGTGACTTATAATAATCTTCTTCTAATTACAATTTACAGGTACAATATGGTTGAACAAGGCCTAGTAAAAGAACAGGTATTCTCTTTTTGGCTAAACAGAAATGAAGCTGATGAAGAAGGAGGTGAACTTGTCTTTGGTGGTGTTGATCCCAATCACTTCATAGGGGAACACTCATACGTACCCGTGACTAGAAAGGGTTACTGGCAGGTGTGTATTTATATATCACCAAACTGTGAAAAAGACTTAATTGCCCTCCTCATCCTCATCATTGTGTTTTGCATATGTCTTGCAGTTCAATATGGGAGATTTCCTTATTGGAAACCAATCTACAGGTACTTTGAATCAATATGTTTAATACTTGTTTTATCATTGTTTTGTTTCTTAAAATCCTTTTTTTTCCTACAGGATTCTGTGAGGGTGGTTGTGCTGCTATTGTGGATTCTGGAACATCCTTGCTTGCTGGACCAACTGTATGTATCTCAGGGATTTCAAGTTTTTCATCTTTAATTTTTGAATCTAATTAGTTTGTAAATTTCAGGCTGTTGTCACAGAGATTAACTATGCAATTGGGGGTGAAGGAGTACTCAGCAGTGAATGCAAAACACTTGTGACTGAATATGGAGATATGATCTGGGATCTCCTTGTTTCTGGGGTTTGTGTTTCTTTTTCCTGATTAACTGGATAAATGATGTTTGAGAAAATGACGACTTAATTGGGAGAATGGAAGGAGAAAGGAAATAATGAAAATTTTGTAATACTTAATGGGAAAAAAAAAAAAAACTTATTTCCATCGTTCTTTGTGCATTATGTCAAAAAGTAACACCTATATTTTGCTTTATGGTGTTAAATCATGTCCCAATTCTATCCATTTAAGTAAAAAAAGAATCAAAATGAAGATTTCTTTAACCACTTTATTATTTTTATGCTTAGAAGTCGAATGTAATCTTTTATGCTGATAATATGACTTTCAGGTAACACCCGGAAAAGTTTGTTCAGAGGCTGGTTTATGTTTCTCTGATGGACGTCAGTCTGTGAGGTATGAATTTTCTAACAGTTTTTAAATTAACTATATTATTGGAAAGATTGGAAATTTTCCACCAAGTTGATGAAATTGGGTCAATTCCAAATTGACCTATTAAAAGAATGTGAGTCAACTATTGACTATTAGTTGGTAATCAAGCAGTAGAAGCTGAATTCCTACATGCAGTGACTTACTTCTGTTGATTTGTTTAGTAATTATAGCACACTAATTTCATTTGTTCATATTACAATACTGTGCTTTTGATGATGGAATTTTACTTTTGTTTCAGTTCAAATATTGAAACAGTGGTTGGGAAAGAGAATGATGGACTTGGGGATACAGTGTTATGTGAAGCATGTGAAATGGCTGTTGTTTGGATGCAAAACCAGCTCAGACAATCAGCAACCAAGGAAGCCGTGCTAAGCTATGTGAATAAGGTGACTCTCAATTATTGTTATTATATTACCATTATACACACACACATATATATATATATATATATATATATAACTAAATATATAATTGACAATGTTGAATAGCTTTGTGAGAGCATACCAAGCCCAGCTGGAGAATCAGTAATTGATTGCAATACCCTCCATAAGATGCCAAATGTTTCATTCACCATTGGGGAAAAACTCTATACCCTCACTCCAGAACAGGTATGAATTCTTCATAAAATCCACCCAAATATAGCATTGAATTTCAAATTTTCTTATATCCGAAAAATTTACCTGATTATAGCAATGAAAATTGCTTTGTAATAGGAATAAATAAGTATGATGCTATAATAAACAAATCAAAGAAAGTACATTGCTATTTCTTGCGTTTAAGACAATTAATGTTTTATATCTTTGATGTCAGTATATTCTGAAAACCGGAGAAGGTGCGGCTACTGTTTGCATCAGTGGTTTTATGGCATTAGATATGCCACCTCCAACAGGCCCTCTTTGGTATGTACAATTTTCATACTGAAAACCAACTGAACTCGTATATAAGTAAATAATATTATGAAAAAAAGACAACTTGCTAATTTTAGGTATTTAATGGGGTGTGATGGTATGTTGGGTGCAGGATTCTGGGAGATGTGTTCATGGGTGTTTACCACACTGTGTTTGACTATGGAAATCTGCAGCTGGGATTTGCTAAATCAGCATAATTTACTGTCTGATTAGCATGGAAAAAAAAAACTTTAAGCCTCTCATGTAAATATATAATATGATGGATGTATCGTATACTTGAATATTTTTACTGTGGTAACGAATACGTTAGGAGGAGGGGTTGTATTGTATGATGTTATTTCACTCATTTGCGACCCTTGATGGTTGCATATGATATGGGTGAGTTATTATCTAAAACTGAACTTGAGAAAAACAATTGTGGTTCTTTTGTTTATCCTCAATTGATATTTACAATAGGTCTTTGTCTTTGCTCTTACATGTTATGAGTGCTTTGGATTTATACTATGTTTGGGGTGCATTGAGTTGAACCTAGCTTGATGTCAACAGGATAAAAATTACTACTTCTTTATGCCTACCATGCTTGTATAGAAAATGTGATGTGTTCTTTTCTTCTTAATCCCAGTCGTAAAAAATAGATTTATAAAAGCCTGTTTAATCTTTTGTGAGGTGTAAAAATGTATAATTTGTATACAAGGTTATGTTGATGATATTATGGTGGTTTTATCATCTAGTTTTTATTGATGACATTATATTTGGTTTTATCATCGAGTTTTTATGTTTGGACTATTTCTCATGATTATGGTAGTGAATTGTTTCATTTTTAGGTTTACAAGTAAAACATCTACTTATTTTTATAAATCAGTTCATGTATTTGACAAAGTTCAAAAATTAGTGCATTTTATCGAAGAAAACTCCCATGCCAGTTTCGGTAAGTTGTATGATGACCATAATGACAAGGATGTGAATCCTTTTATGTATAAGGGCATGATTGGCTCTTTTTTGTACTTAAATGAAGGTAGAACCACAAAAGACTAATCTTAATGCATTAAAAAGATTTTTCTGGTACTTAAAGGGCAACTATGGCTTGGTATTTGGTATTCCAAGACAAACTTTATCTAATTGCCTATTTTTAGACTCAGATTATTCAGGCAACTTTTTATATAGGAAAAATACTATAGAAGGATGACAAATGTTAGGTGGAAGATCGAGAAGTTGGTATAACAAGAAACAAACATAGGTTTTTGTTCCAAAACATAATAAAAATATCTTGTTACTGGAAGGTGTTGCTCACAAATCCTATAGATACACAATAAATTATTGTGTTCTGTGTGACAACCGTCAAAATTCGAGTCAGTTCTAGATATGAATAAACTTAGTTGCATGTATAGGCACGATACATGCTAGATTTGGTAGCTCGAGGCTAAGTCATAACCTACTAGAAACTTGGAAACAAATAGAATCGAATGATAGTGTATTTAGATTTCACATTAATGTGAATTCTACAACTACTTTAACTGTAACAACTATCCAAATTCCGGTCATTCATTGACTCGAACATCTTTGTATATTCATGTAGACACATCATGCATCTGACCTAGAAGTAGAAATTAAATTAGAGTCTCATAAGAACTTAAGTCAAAGTTGAAACTAGGACTAGTATACTTGATTCCTCAATTTCACTTGAATCTCAAAACCAGTACATAGAATGCCAATAATCTGATTTCAATCGAACTAAGTAACTTGCTAAAAAAATAAGTGTTTTAATATTGAGCAACTTGATTATTTCAAATACTAAACTCAATTCATTATGGTGTTAACAATTTTATTGGGTTTAAAACAATCCAATATATTCTATATCCATTATGATAGTTTAAAATGTCCAAATTTTATAACAATGTCAAAATTTTATAAATTGAATGCAAGTTTTATAAAATTTAAATTTCCTCCAAACTTTTATGCCATATGTATAATATCTTTAATTAAATATAAGTCATGAAACATAAATTAGATCAAGGAATAATAAATTGTAAATGTTAGCCTTATTTATGAACGTACGTGTCAAATTTTTATAGAATTGACCATAAAAGCTTATGTTTTATAAAAATCTAAATTCTCAAATCTTATATTTATAAAAAAAATACAAGAAAAATCTGATATATGACCCCCCCCCCCCTTCTTCAAATTTCGGATCCCTCATTTCTCCTCCCAAAGTCAATCATTTTGATCACTTCCACACTCTTCTCCTTCCTCACTTCTCTCTCTAAAAACTTCTCTCTTCCTTATCTCTAACAATCACGAACTTAGAAGCAGAATAACTGGGAGAGATTTTTACATTCGATTATTCATGAGTTTACACATACTTTTGTATTTTGATGACCGATTTTGGTGGAGAGAAACCCCAAAGAGATGACGAGAGAGATTGGGTATCCAGAGAGACAAAATCTCTCTTATATCTCTTTTCTTCTTTCTAAAACCCCAATTCTTTACCTCTATGAATTAGCCCCAAAACCCACGAATTTCCAGCTAAACATCCCTCATTTTACTTAAGAATCTTCATCATTTGAAGTTGATATCCAAGGTAAAATCAATTTCCTTATATTTTCTTTATTTTTCTTTCAAAAATTTCAAGTTTTCTTGCATTTTTCTCCCTCTTCTACACCATTCTTTATGAACATTCATATGCATGTTCATGCATGTCGAATTTGATGATGACGATGGTAGGATTTCACCCAAAACACAACATGCATGTTGTTAGAAGGTGAAATCCAATGACCAAAACCTAAATCAAATCCATTAACTTGATTTTTTACAAGTTTTAAAGATCCAAAACCACATGCATTCAAGTTTTTCGTTTAGAAACATCATTTTGAGCAAAATAAGTTCATTCATGTTCTTCAAATCATAATGCATGTGATGAACATCAAGCTTAAAGGCTTGATGATCAAAATACATTGTTAAGAATGCTTATAAATGATTTATTCACAAATAAATATCTAAAACTTCTTTTCTGCTCAAATATGTTTTTTTTCAAAACTTGTTTACTCGTTTTAGCAACGAACTTTATTTCCCTTGAGAATATGAACTTTGCATCTCATTTTGGCAACATACTTTATTTCTCATGATGACAATTAACTTTGTTTATGAAAACTTATTTACTCATTTTAGCAATGTACTTTTATTTATGGAAACTTCTATCAAAACTTTTATTACGATTCATGAAACCAATATTTTTGTAAATCCGTGATCTCACCAACTACTTTTATAGTTGAAGTTCGTTTTACATGCTTTTTCAGGAATCATTGAGTAAGTGGCACGTAGGGACATATCCCTTGTAGGAGCATTCGCATGTGTGATTTTTTTATATGTTGTAATTACTTTTAAAAGTTGTTCAAACTTATTGTAAATTGTAAAGCTTTTAATACTATGGTTGGTGTTGTCTTTTAACTTTTGCTATGAGACCCTTTGTGTTGTCGCGTCCCGTGTTTCCGCTTAGCTGGGGTGTGACAGAAATGTTATCAGAGCCGAAGGTTATAGAGAATACCTGTTTTCCTTTGGAGAACCCCAACTATAACCAAAATTTTTCAAAACATCTTTCAAAAATACTGAACATAATACTGGTATAACTAAGTCAAGTACACATTATTGGACTTTAATTAAGTATAGCCTGGCCAACTATGCTTACTTAAGGAAAATTAATGCGAGACTGGAAACGGTTATAGTAGAATTATGTTCAAAACAATTTTCAACTTAAACTTTTAAAAACAAAATTTTTCAGTGTGATTATGGTCATTGCATATTATAAGCATTCATCTAGGTACACTTAGAAACTAAGTACACTTTTATCATAATGTCTATATTTAGAAATAGTCTTATCCCTTATCAAGTGCTAGGCTAACTAGTTAGGTTAAATCACTAGCCACTTTAGGAGCAATCCACTTAGTACTGAGAACGAGTATCCCTTGGTAGCTATTGACTCTGGACGTAAGGTTCGCAACTAGAGAACCACTAGTGACAATCTTAAGTTGACACCAATACCAATTTCACCTCGATACCCCTATATCGTCTGCGTACTAGAGTCACGACTAGGAAAAGCGTTTCTATACCGACACGGATGACAATTGGAGTATCGCGTTAGGAGGTGGATGAGTCGCCACAAGTTGTCACTTGAATACCATTGAAGAGCATCCCCGATATGACTCTTGAGGAGACACAAAGGTTTAACTCATTGTTACTGATACGTGAGGCTCCTCTTCTACGCTACAATTTTAGCTTTCAGTTGTTTCTACCTTGAGCTTAAAACTAAACCTAGGGTATCTCTTTGACCCAAAATCTTTTCTTTAGGTAGTTCATACCCTACCATCTTTACTTCGCATATCTGAATTCAAGCACAAGCCCTCCCCTTTATGATAATTTTTTTACAAGTCTTAGTTTGAGGCCCCAGATGCACTAGTGATCTTCTCAAGTATACCACCATCTTACACTTTCCAAATTACTAACATGTTTCATGCCCAACCTTCAACCTTAAATTTTCATTCCCGAGCAGACATTGCACTACTTCATTGTACGAATCCTTCCTACGAATTTCGAATCCTCCTTCGAACCTTATTATTTTTATACATTTGTTTGAGCCTTATCGACATTACTAACATTCCTATCGTTATAAAGGATTACATCCTCTTACTCCATAACCACATGCCAAACCTATAACTTAACCTTTTACCTTTATAACAGGCGTGAAACTGCATCTACACCATAAAGCATTTTACAAACATTTTTTTTTCATGTCCTCTATTTTGGGGGAAAGTCAATGTTACTCGTCTTGTAGCCGCCTTAGTATTAGGTACGACTAGCTACACCAACCCACTTATTCCTTACTTGTTATTCTTCCATTAAGAACCTATTTCATTTCACCAGTTTTATTTATCATCGATACAATACTTTAAAACCACTTCATATAGTTTACTAGACCTTTCCTAACCATGTAAGCTATATTTCTCGCTAAAAAACAACTTTACTTTTGCTAAATTGATTTAACTTAGCACTTTTCTTCAAACTTAATTTAACCAATGTTGATTTTAACCTTGACATTTCAATTTCGTTTCAAATCCATTTCAATAGCTAGATGTGCTTTTAAGGACATATAAACCCTTTTAAACATTCCTTACCATTTTGGCACGTTTTAGAAAAACTTAAAAACATTTTCTATTATAAAAGTGTTTAAACTCTATAAAACTTAAACATATGATATCGATGTTCATGACATGGGTAAAGGCTTCATTGGGCTTTTCAAATCATGTTTGTTTTGACTCTTTTTGACTTCTTTCTCATTTAGGCATTGTACTTTACTTAAATGTGTTTTCTTGAATTCCAGTATGATATTTCTGCAACTTTCTACTTCAAACATGTTTATAAGACATCTCTAATTCCTACATTTCAAACATATCGCATTTGTATATTTTATTTCAAATTAGTTTTATAATCTGCAAAATTTATAAAATTTAAAGCTTTACAAAACTTAGTGTTCACTTTTAAATTTCCAGTGTCACACCTTCAACAATGTATAATTGTTATTCTAAATATATCGAGTCTTTACCCTTATCCATTTTAGCCATTGTTGGACTCCAGTCTAAAAGGTCAAAAATGTCAGATTTTCAATTACCAGTTTTAGT